GTTGACGTTTCAGGCATGATTGGATCTACAGCTGTGAGGAGCCATCCTGTGTAGCTCGCAGGGTCATGGAGGCACGCAACCCATCACACCGCGTCAAGGTGCAGTCTCGTCGTGATGGACATAGGTGCACGGTGGTCCCAATTCTTGATTTATCCTATAACGAGTCCTGATTTGATCGAAACGTTAAACATTTTACAATTGGTTATACGTCTCCATTCTCTCTTGAGATAAATATGAGATAACTCTCTTGGTTGCATTCGCATGCCCGCTGGTAGTTGATTATTGACGTAATCCAGCAACAGGGTTCTTTGTCACAGGCACGTTAAGTGGCCCACATGATTGCAACATTTGCTTTGTTCATTCGTGGATTACGCAACCAATTTTCGTCCTGAATTTGTGCTGCGTTGTGGTAAGCTCGCCACTTCAAAGCTGGTCACCACCTCATCTTGTATGAATGCTCTGTTTAAAAAGTATGCAAATGTAACTTCTAAAGGTTATCTCCCTTCACCAATGTTGCTCCCGTTCCAGGTGGGTGTGTTTCTCAGAGCGATGGAAAAAGACGAATTGCTTGGGTTAATCGAGTCGAAACCGGGAATCTTGTTGATTAAATCTCTTGCGCGTGATCATCCAGAGTAAGTTGTCAATTATGACTGTCATGGGAAATCCCCACGGTTTGAGTAGAAGGGAGGATAGGGCAACGGATTCTTTTCATTATCTATTCCAACGCTTGTTTAATGATTAAGATCAAAAGCATGACACCAAACAAAGTCATTGAATGCATTTGACAACTGGTTGCGATTTAGTCCTTTTTCACAGATTTGGACAGCTTGCGCTTGTAAAAACAGTGTTTTGCGTAGCATGGCTCATCTTGGTGAATTCAGATTAGAACTGCCTTTTCTAGTTTGCTGTGACTGGTCTTGTTCACTTCCGCAACCTAGTTGGATTTCCTTAGATTACCGCAGTGTGATCGGTGTTGGTGACCTGTTCTACTAAGGAGCTTCGAATTTCTTTCCTGACTTCTTGTATCAGCCATACCGGAACATATTCTTGGATTTTTTGATGACCAGGTCCCGATTAACTTGTGGTTTAATCTTGAAATCATTGACAGTGTCTGTCGAGCCTGTAGCGTTTCAACGTAACCGCAACACCATCTCGCACATCGCCCGTCAACACGTTTTGAGCATTGCGCACAAATAGTCCTTGCCATCAACTCCTTATAATCAGGATTTGTTGAAAATGTTCGCTCATTTTCACCCTTAATCGATCGCCTTTGATACACTGATCATTTTCGGCATTAATGTGACATTCATCCGTCAGCGGTTAAGAGCATCAAATGAGACGAATATTTCACAACCGTGTGGGTGCGAAACACTAATAACCCCAGCTAGAGTACTATTATTAAGGTGCACTTCGCAGCTTGCCTAGTTAGTGGTATGATGCAGTCCCGCCTCAGATGTGTTAGACCATGTACAGTTGTGCAATAATGATCAACATTCACCCCGAAAACTGTGGCTGAATGGTTACCACCTCGATCATGCACCGTGTCGGGATTGATGAATTCACTCGCCGAAGCAAAAGATTGACACTCCGTTAAGGGTTATCGGAACTGAAACAAAAAATGCTTGCCTATAACGACCCGGGAATATCAGAGTTCCCAAGATTGTTGCCGGTTTTCATAACTTTTTGGCCTACCCACGTCGCTATACCTCTAAGAGTGAACACACAATTCGACGAAAAATGTCTAATTAAGGTACAAGATAGCTCTCACACTGCCTCGAATTAGGTCACAAGTAAATGAGATGAAAATATTTGTGATAACCAACAAAGAGCACTGGACAGCTGTTTCGTCCTGTTTGGGACTCGTTAGCAGTGCGTACTTTTTGTGTCCCTGTCAGGACTCGAACCGAGAACCATCAAGAGTGCCTGGTGCCTCTGAACAATTGAATGGGCTAATCCAAGCTTGATACTCTAAATCTAGGTCACAAGTGCTTAAAATTATAGCGATCGTTGCACCTGGATGCGAGCATTCAGCGCATGTAACAGTTGCTGCATACCGCATCAAACTTACCATTCAAGAATAAACACGTACCATGAATAACACATCGTCATATTGATGATGAGTCTGTCTATCGGAGAAGTTGCGTCGTCTAGATTTCTGTGTAGAACGATGTGCTGTTTGGCGACGACAAAAGGTTTCACCTCGAGGGTCTTGATGGACTCGTCTACTACTGACATAAACTGTGTAAAAGTAAATTTTCCTTCAACTATGGAACCTACGGCGGGGGCTTCTGTTGNTTTTTGGTGGCATTCGTGCAGGTGTATAGTCTTTCTTCAGAATTTTAGAGAGGAACTAGATTGCTGAATTTTTCATGAAAACATGGAGCGAGTTTCTTCTCCCAAAATCGATATCTGACCTATAACCCCCATCTTGGTTGAACAGATATTCGCAGCTGATGCCAGGCTTCTTTTCTTTTTCTTTTACTTCCTTTTTATTGAATATACGTAGATACAATTTTCAGGAAGGGGGAAGCGGCCAATCAAACAGCTGCCATTCAACACACAGTGGAGAAAGTCAGGCGTTGGTGGTGAAGCCGAAGCCATTTCCGAGCTTACGGCACTTTTTCGCCCGAGTTCACCACGGAAGGTGGCGTTCCTCAGGGTTGCCCTGTCTCTCCGTTTTTATTCAACTTTGTTATAGCTTTTATTATGGAAACAGCCCTATCCTCGTACGAGGATAGTGACATCGATTTACTCCCAGGTGGCAGACTATCTGATCTAGAGTATGCAGACGACATTGCGCTACTAAGTGAAGATCCAGGTAATTTGCAAACTCCCTTGGGTAGCTTGAGTGCCAGCGTAGCCATCCATGTTCAGTATGCCTTTCTCAAAANCTCTACCTGGGAAGTAGTAGCGGAAGTAAAGAAATTTTACTATCAGGGTAGCTATATCTCACCCGGTGGACGCATCACGGATGAAGTGTCAGCTCGCATACAAAAGGCGCGGTTAGCATTCGCCAACTTGAGACATCTGGGGTGCCGTCGCGACATCCGGATGTCTGTGAACGGTCGATTGTATGCTGCGGCAGTTGGGCCAGTTTTGCTATACGACAGAGAAACTTGGCCACTAAGAAAACAGGATAAAGATAGACTGTCGGTGTCTACGCAGCATTGCATGAATCTGGTGGGGCAGCCGGACGAGCAATGCGGAGGTTGGGCGCAGAGTTTAAGGTAATCGCGGTTGCTCACTGGGGCAAGTGGTCGACCTCTGTAGATTATGTTGGTTGGGGCATGTGCTACGCATGTCACCGGATAGGTTGCCACAGCGAGCAATGTTCGCCGATGCACGTGGTGTACAGAGGACACTCAAGAGTGATCAAAATAAGACCTATCACGGTGGTAGCAAAATCCTACCCAGGAGACTCGATCATATAATTCCCATTAGGCTCCCTCACTGGAGACCTTGGGATGATCGAAACCGGTGGTTAGACCCATTGAATGATATGGCTGAGTGTCGTAACTTTCGTGTAACTTCTCAATTCTTTGCAATATTATTCCACTGAAATTCTTAATTTTCTCCTCAGCTCAATGATAAATTTCCCTGTCTTTCTCATACTGCTTCATCGAAATGAGCATACAAAAGACAGCAATCAAAATTGACGCACGATTTTGCATGATTAATGGTTGTACGAACTGAACTGATTCCTTTGAAAGGACCAGTGGAGCGAAGAATTCTTTGCGAAAAGAATTCTTCGCTTCACTGGTCTTTTTAATGATCAGTGAGGATATTTCAAGAAAACCTTATTCCATCAAATCGAATCAACACGATAATGCGTTTACACGTAAAGCCTACGTCACGGATATGTGGTTGCTGCACCGGAATATCAAGACCATGAAATAAGCAGCTCACAGCCCGTAGTTAAGCTCCAATGAAAATGTCCGGGGTCCGTTGATGCGGCAGGTTGATACTAATGGAAAGGTATTCCATGCTGTCATGAATTACACTCAGTTGTCATTTATAAATGAAACAGGTTCGCTTTTCAGCCTATCCAGAGGCCGACTGGAAGCGTGTTTTAATCGCAAATAATAAAGGTTGGTGTACTTTGTAACATATTGGGTCTTTTCATCATTTTCCTGGGACGGGGTTAATAGCATTTCTCACGCCTGTTGTGTTCGGTCTAAACGTACAAATGGCACGATCGTCTCTTGCTTAACCCCCAAAAACAATTCAGAGATAGAGAACACAGCTGGAGGTAACAGTCAGTGTGCATTCCTTTAAGTCAGAGTTCGATACGCAAATATATAAAGTAAATTAGGCATACGAGAACAGCGCAGTCAGGCACCGATCACATTGCTTCCTGGTTATATCGATCAGTCGGACAAACACCAACTGAAGTGTTCCTCAGTCACTCGACCGGACTCAGTCTGCCTGGAGCGTTGCGAGCGTGCCTGTGGCCTGACTCGGAGGCGTGCACAACCTGACGGGCTGTTTTAGCTCCGTTTCCTAACAACCCCAAGGGTCACACTTTACAGAATAAGGAAGTTAAGCAAAACCATCATCTAAATCCGTTTTCTTAGTTTCTCCCTACGGCTTCGAGTAGTATTATCGTCCTACCAAATTTGATAAATTTGGGTGGCTTTTGGTCAATGGAAATTCGTGGAAAAACAGGGTGGAGTTAATAGCCCCGGAAACGACTGATTTCGTCCGACTTGTTCAGAGGAATGATGTTTTTAACGGACTTGGCAGAATATTTGACCCTATGTGATCAGGGCTGATCCATAGAGATCAACAATTTGGTGCATTTCGAATGGTCTCCAATTAATCGTTCACGTGCATTGGCCAAGGCGAGTGGCGGGGTAGGAGCTGTTCTGTAAAGGCTATTGTACTCATACTAAAGAGTAGGATTTACGTTATTGGCTGATCTCCCTCCCCCACTCCCCCGAAAAAAATAATGCTTCT